TTGTGTGCAGGTCTGGAGCCCTCAATATAAGAAGGACATGGACCTGATGGAGAGGGTCCAGAGGAGGGCCACAAGGATGATCAAGGGGATGGAGCACCTCTGCTACAAGGACAGGCTGAAGGAACTGGGGTTGTTCAGCCTGGAGAAGAGGAGGCTCCAGGGAGACCTAATAGCAGCCTTCCAGTACCTGAGGGGGGCTACAGGAAGGCTGGGGAGAGCCTGTTTAGAAAGGCCTGCAGTGACAGAACGAGGGGCAATGGCTTCAAGCTGGAGGGGAACAGATTTAGACTGGAGATGAGGAGAGGGTTCTTCACTGTGAGGGTGGTGGAGCACTGGAACAGGTTGCCCAGGGAGGTGGTTGAGGCCCCTTCCCTGGAGATATTCAAGGAGAGGCTCGACGAGGCCCTGGGCAACCTGGTCTAGTTGGGGGTGTCCCTGCTGACTGCGGGGGGGTCGGACTAGATGGCCTTTGGAGGTCCCTTCCGGCCTGGGCAATTCTAGGATTCTAAACTCTGGGAGAAGCCTTCTCCCATGGGTACAGTACAGAGAGGGGCTTGGTCCCTAACCAGCTTTAAATTGAACCCACCTACCAGTGATAAAACCAACCCGTTTCATTTTGTATCTTCTACATTGACTCCTTTCCCAGGGATATTTAACACAGACAACATCACAGACACAACAGTCTGACTTTCTGTGAGAAAATAACAGGCAATCGGGTGGGAGGATTGTAAACACACTCAAGTGACCTGCACATGGGGTGCTGGAAAACACAGGTATCACACTAATTGTTGTTTAGTATTATGTGCTTGACAAGTACAACATCCGCACTCAGATAACACAGGCCTGTGATGGACTCGGGGGCAGCACCTTATCGAACATCCCCGAGATTCCTGCCCTGCTGCTGGAGAAGATCCAAACACAGCAGAAAACTCTGGCTGTTTGAACCCTTGAAGGTGAGAACAGCAAGTCTGAGCTCTCACTCCCTCACTAACAAGGACTCTCTCGCTCTGCAGCACCTGCATCCCCTACTTGTGTGTCTCAGCCCAAGTGCTGCTTCAGAGATCCCCTGATCCACGAGGTATCGGGATTCAATTTGTTCTTTGCCTTTCATCCATCCATGGTTTTGTGGTTGTTCCTGTGTCAGCTCACACACATTCCAATTTAACTTTTCAGCCCAGTGAACTTGGAGCTCTTTGGAGCAGAGTACTGCATTAGACATCTTTATGGAAAGCTCAAATCCAGCCACATGTTCCCAAATTAGCATCTAGGGGTTTGGGTTTTTTTATCTAGAAACAGGCAAACAGCAAGGTCTGCACCAACTAAATTCATCTGCATCCAAGAGAAGATTTCAAACTCTTTATATAATATGTGCAGGCAAGTAAAATCAGAACAGCTAACAACACCACTCCTAAGCACCTGCTCTGAATAGAGCAGAAAACAAGAGTAGTTCTCCATTAAGTTAGCTCTTCCTACCCATTTCTCCTAGAGGCTGGTAGATCTCCACACACCAAAGCCTGGCCAGCTCTTATCTTCCCCAGGTGCTCAACTTCCTCCCCACTGCAGCTCACCACTGGGCAAACATCATTCATTTCCTCCTCAAACACCGCCTGAGGCAGCGGTTTAGTCACAATCCAGGAAGAGGAAGCAGCACATGTCACTGTAAATGCAGAACCGTGTCTGTCTAGAGAAAGTTTTTGCTGCCACAGCCTGTGCACAGAGCAAACACAGCCAGGAAACCAGTCCCCCCAGTGCCTGAGGACTGTCTGCACATAATCCCTACTGGAACCAGCAAAGCTGAATGTCAGCTCTCCCTACCTCACCAGCAGCTCCCAGAAAAATGAGGAGATGGATCTTTTCCTCCTGTTAGACACAAATGTGCTGCTACAAGATGCCAAGGCAAAGCATAAGCCATGTTTTTCCCCCAGAATTTGTTTTGTCAGCCCAAAAGGCTCACACTCATGAAGTTTTGAGGGGTAAAGCCTTTATCAGCCACACAAGAAGTCCTATAACACATCTTTAAAGTGCCCCATGATGAGCTATTCAGCTATGAGCAAAACCTCTTTGCTCTTGGTATCTCACACTCTAGTGAAGGCCATCAAGCTGTGACAGCCCACACCCTGCCAGGCTCTGGCAGTTACGAGCCAGCATTGAGTTTGGAGTACCTGAGTGGCACAGATGATGGGTTTGCCAGCCCTGTTGCAACGTCCAATCATCATCTTCTGGGCAAGGAAGACTTTTTCAGCAGGGATCTCAATTCCCAGGTCACCACGGGCCACCATAATGCCATCGCTGGCCTCCATGATCTCATCAAACCTGACAGCAAGAGAAGAAGTTTGTTACCCCATTTGTTCCACAAAGCACCTTCCTGTCTGTTCTGTCCTCCTGCTCTGAAAGGGAGCATCGCTCTGGAGCGATCCCCTCCAATGCCAAGGCAGGAGGAAGAAACACAAGACTGGGTCATAGCACGTAAAGTGCTGCCTGAAGTTTTCTAAAGCAATACAGAGACAGTTGGAGAGGAGCCTGAGTTGATCTGTGATATTTCAGTCTGATGGTTTGTCACAGACATGGCGATTCCCGTGTGTTAGCTCACCAAACTGCATCCACCATGACCAGTTGGACAAGTTTGAACTCACACTGGCTACAAAGACCATCACAGATTTTTGTTCAGGTATTCAAGGAGAGTTGTGTGCCACAGAGCGTGTGGCAGTTACACAACCCTCTGCTCGTACTGCACACACACAGCACTGACAGCTTGCACTACTACCCTGTTACTGGACCAGTAACTCTGCCACTGCTGGCAAGCCAGAGACCAGGAGTCCTGGCTACAACACAAAGGGGCTGTGTTTTCCCCTTGATACAAGGTGACAAACACCTTCACAAAGCTCACCTGCGCACACCCTCATGGTTCTCGATCTTGCTGATGATCTTGATGTTCTTTCCCTTTTCCCCTAGCACCTTCCTGACAGCGTGGACATCAGCAGCTTTGCGGATGAAGGAAGCAAACACCATATCCACGTTCTGCTCCACACCGAATTTTAGGTCCTGAATGTCCTTTTCAGAGACCGCAGGCAGGTCGACTGCGGCACCGGGCAGGTTGACTCCCTTCTTGCTGCCCAGCATGCCACCGTTCTCGATCTCCGTCATGACATAGTCCTTGCCTGAAACAAATGTGTTCCCATGGTCAGTGTTTACCAGAAATGTCCCCGCTGCCAGCTCCCACACCGCTCCCAGCCCCGGCACAGCAGCACCCACAGCGACTGCACGCGATAAAAGGGCATCACTTTTATCTCTATTGTATTTATGCAAGACACAAGCTTGCAATTTACCCATGGGAGCACAACAGACCAGTTTAAAACCACATCTACGCTGTCCTTGGACAAGATGCCATTTGTTCCGCACAGGAGGCTGGGACTGCCTCCCCCAAAAAAGCTTCCAGGGTGTACACAGGAGCCCTGTCACAACCAAACTGAGCCCCCCCAAAAAGCCTCACCTCCGTCTCCCAACATACTCTGGAATTAGAGGCATACCTTGAGGCTAGAGTGGTTTAGGCAGCGCTATAAAGGAAGTATTGTGGGACTAACCTTACCCCTACATTACCAGTTAAAGCTAGTTCTGTCTCTACCCACAAAACTCAGGGTCTAAGCTGTAAAGCTAGTTAAATAGTACACTAAAAGTATGAATTTGTCTGGCTGAACAGGCTTTGATCATGAACACTGGTATGCATTCACCTTTGAAGAAGGGTTTTAAATGACAGTCTAGTGAAATCCAGCTGAAGGTAGTTTTTGGAAACTTGCTACCCTTGAAACAGAGAAAGTTTCGCTCAAAGACTCACTAAGGCATTAAAAACCACATCCTCCTCTCTTTGATACACAACTGCAAGTTAAAACATTGTTACTGAAGGGAAAGCTCAAGTATGTTCTGAGAAAAAAAACAAATAATCACAGCCAGAACGGTTGTTACACACCTTTCTCCTTAACCAGCAAGGAAATCAGACCGTCATCCACATAGATTTTGCTGCCAACTTCTACAACCTTGGTGAGATTCTTGTAGTCCACCCACAGCGTGTTCTCATCGCAGTTCTCCATGAAGGCATCGTCCAGGGTCACTTTGAGGGCTGCCCCCTTCTTCAGCTCCACTTCTGCTGTGCCACTCTGTGCATCGAAACACACGCTTCAGCAAAACCAGTAAAAACCAGCACACAACCACCTCCCAGCCTGCAGCAGTTCACCAAACCTTTTGGTAGTTGGTTTGTAATCTCATTTCCCAGAGACATTTTTTTGTTTGGAAAAGACCACAGGCATAACACAATATCTAGTCTCATGCAGTAAAAGAAGTGGGAGGAAAAAAAAAATAAAAAATAGTGACTTACTCCCTTAATGAGTCCAGTTCTAATTTCAGGTCCCTTGGTATCCAGTGCAATAGCCACAGGTCGGTAGGTGATGGGATCAGAGGCAAAGCTCTCTGTAGCTTCTCGCACGTTCTTGATTGTGCCCTCATGATACTGGCAAGGGAGAGAGATGAAAACATTCAGTCCATTTCTACTCCATAGCTTATAAAAAAAGACCACTATGCTCCCAAACGCTGCCCAGGCTGACAGCTCCGCTCTCACATCATGTTCAATTTCAGTTCTAACTTGAGAACTTAACTCAGACTGAGCTTCCAGAAGAGCAGAGTGTGAGGATACGAGAGCCTTCCCTGCACAAAAGCAGAGCCTGGCAGTTGACTGGCTATGCCTTTGGTGTCCCCAGTTCTAAGCCCAGAAAGACAACTGGAGGAGACAGCCCACGCACTCACTGAAGTGATTTTGCATCAGGACACACACATGCCCTTTGAAGATGGCCCACCGACCAGCAGGCCTTTAGGAAGGATGTTTCTGAAAGCTTTGCTGTTCAGTGTGGCACGGAAAGACTCCTGAGTCCCAGAATAATGTCACAGCTAAGTGACTGCCACCCATGGCTGTTCTCCCCACAGAGCACGGGAGGATGCTGTTCTCCACACAGACTTCCAGCCTGACCCCTCTTATCAGTCCCACAGGCGAGTGCAGACAGGAAGGCTTGAAAGCTTTGCTGTTCAGTGTGGCACGGAAAGACTCCTGAGTCCCAGAATAATGTCACAGCTAAGTGACTGCCACCCATGGCTGTTCTCCCTGCAGAGCACGGGAGGATGCTGTTCTCCACACAGCCAACTGACCCACAGACTTCCAGCCTGACCCCTCTTATCAGTCCCACAGGCGAGTGCAGACAGGAAGGCTTTTTTATAGCTCTTTGGCTTAAATTTCCCCTAAAGATAAAGAATTTTCTAAGAGCAGGTTATCCACCTAAATATTTACATTCTATTTCAAGAGCCAAAACAATCACAGAGCGAAGTTTGAGACTTCAGCACAACGTACTCCTGTACAAGGGCATTTTGTGAATGCTGCCAATTTCAGGACAGAGTTCTGCAGGGAATCTCCCACCCCAACTACCTCAAATGAGCTTCAGGTGACCAGCAGATCAGTTTACTTTACTTGCTCAAACAACATTAAGAGATAACTTCGCAAGTTGTGTAACACTTGACTGACTTTTGCAGATAAGAAATACCCTTTCCCCTCTCCGTGCCCCGGACGAGCAGCGATTGACCTGACTCACCTGGAAACACAGGGCTCACCCCACGCCACCCACCCGCCTCGACACGAGCCCCACACGCCGACTGTGGCACCACAGGGACTGTAACCCAGTGCCAGGAAGGTGGGGCCAGGAAAACCTGTGCTAAAGTTCGTGTGCGTGCCCTCGGCCAGAGGTACACCACAACTGATAACTCTCCAGAGCAGGAAAAAATGGATTTACTGATCAAGCGTGCCAGCTTGAATGGGTGTAGTACAGGAAACTTGCCTGAACAGTGTTATTACGTTTATCTGGTCCCAGTCACCTGGGATTTATATCCTTTTTAGTTTGATACTGGTGACTAACTGGCTCCTAGGGAGTCCAATTTCCTGCAGAGTTACGTATGCAGAACAGGAATGCAGGCAGAGCTGGAAGTAAAAGCCATTTTCTTTCTACATAAAAGTGCTGCAGCCAGGTGCCAGGGCACTTCTGTTGACGTTGAAGCCTTGATGAATGCTTTAGGGTGGTGGATGCAAGAACCAAAGTGCTTACAAATGAAAACCCCGTGGGGCTTCACTGAAAATGGGGAGTATTTTGGAGGAAGCAGGAGGGGACTGGCTACAGCTGACAGCCAAAACTCAACAACAGATGACAGCAAGACCAGCCTCCGCTGTAATCCAACCTCATCCGTATGAAACGTACAATTAGACCTTACCCAAGGCAGAAAGCCACAGTCCCCGTCCTCAACCTCAGCTAACAAGTAGGCAAACCACAGCAGCAGCTCTGCTGGGCAGTAATGGTGTGAAAATTCCCAGTTTTGGCCCGGCCAGCTCCCTGCTGAGCCACCAAGCCGCATCATTTGGCTACTTATCTCCACACTACTCTTTTTTCAGGTGGATTTTGCCAATGCCATCCCTGGGTATTTAGTCAAGGTCTGACGGTTCTCTGCAGTTAACCATCAGACCTTCTGATTCTGGCTGCGCCCTGTGGCCTTTAAATGCCACGAGGGTGAGAGGCCAAGCTGTTACGCACTGCGAGGCTCACGGTTCACTAAGTAAAGCCACCTACAGCTGCTACCGGCTACCGGCTGACATTTTGAAAGCTGGAGGGCAGCCAAAGTGAAAAAAAAAACACAAACCCTCAGCAGGAAGGCTCAGGGTGGCATTCTAGGCAACCTGGAATGGGATCCTCAGCTCCTCCACTACCGCTGAGGATCTCATCTATTTATATCAGTAAGAGCTCGTCTGCCACCAACAGTGTTGATTTCTTTTGACCTTATTCCTTTAAGCAGCACCTCCCCGGTAGCATGGTGCGAACCTCCTGACTACCAGAAACCCAACCGGAGCAGGTGGTTAGCCAAGCAAACCCCAGAGTCCAATTCTTTCAATTATGCACAGTAATTACTTCAAATCACTAACAGTTCTCTTCTGAGACAAGGTTATTCATTGATCGCCTGTTTGCAGAACCCCCAGCAACAAAACAAGCAGCGAGATGGGACAACTGATAGGTTGCTCTCCCACAGAGGCGCGCTGCAAAATGGGAATAAATGTTTTTGGCTTCTGCTATGAACTGAGAAGCAGCAGCTTGGTGCAGTGAACGGCAGAACCAAGGCATATCACGGCAAGAAGAGTTGGCACCCAAGTGCCAAATACCATTTACCTGGCTCCCTGGTACAGAGAAGGGCGTGGAACCGATGGGAACTGCTTTCCAAAGGGCTCAGAGAGCACACTTAAATGTTATCAGCTCAATATGTACAACTAGCTTGCCTTCCCCAAAAGCAGAGCTATGTTTCACCTTCCCACACCAAGGCCAGTGTGGACGAAGCTGGATTTCCCTCCTCCATGAGGGAGAGGGTCAGCAGACACACAGAGAGGGTCTGCAGATAAGCCCGCTGGGGCCTTATCAGCTCAGATCCCACCCTTACCTCGTGGGTGCCATGAGAGAAGTTGAGGCGGGCAACATTCATTCCAGATTTAATCATTTCCTTCAGCTTCTCCACCGAGCGGGAGGCTGGGCCTAGGAGGAGGAAACAGTTTGAATATTAACTTTGTAAAAATAATGAGATAACCCACACACATCAGGCTGTTTCATGTGGGGGAGAAAAGGCATAATGGATACAGGCTTGCTCAGCGCTGAAGCAGCTCATCCCTACAGCAGCAATGATTGTTTTAACTTGCCTTGAGGAGTGCAGCAGAACCTGACCAGTTCCCATTTCCCCAGCTACTGGATTTGCTCCCAGCAGTAACACAGGTTAGGCAGACATGGGAAAGCCACGTTCTTTCAACAGACAAGGGCAGCCCTGGCAAGGGATGAAAGCTGAAGCCTTCCCACAATTTCCCTAACAAGTTTCACCAATGCAGAGCTTCACAGCTGCAATTCTCTCTTCTATCTAGCCATCACCTACCGATGGTGCAGATGATGCCAGTGTTTCTTGCAATGGTTGGCTCCGAGTCGATGTCCAAGCGGCACATGTGCTCCAGGAAGGTGTCTGCCATGGCAGCGTGCAGCTGCTGGGTCTGGATGAAAGCTGTCCCTGCATCGTGGTGCTTCGACATCGTCACTGGAACCCTGTGTCTGGAAGAGACGAAAGCGGTGCCAGGTTTAGAAATCACTCAGACTTGCTCATCGAGCAGAGACACCAACACACCCACGTGATGAATATGGAGGTAACAAGAAAGCTGCTAGTGGGTCAGACTATCTTTATGTTCCTAGTTGAGAGTCTTAAGGTACAGGCAAGACATGTCATCCCCCACGTACACCACCCAGAGCTCACCTGCCATCTATGCAGATGTTCCCTTCATAGCTTCTCTTCATTGCCAGTCTTCCCTTGGAGCTACACAACGCAACAAAATTCAAGCACTTGAGTGCGCAGGCAGAGATCCTGCCTCCTCCCTCCCAACTCTCCAGCCATTTCTCCTACTGGCCTCCGCTGCGTTTCCCACCGCAACCGGGGACCGGGGCAGGTCGGCGCTAGCGTGACTGCAGATACACTGACACGGGCAATCTGCTGCTGAGACACCCCTCATCACCACAAAGTCCACCTAAGCTTTAAACTCATCCTGTAAGCCTCTACGAGCAAGTAGGCTTGAGCTGATTGAACACAACACCTTGGCAGAGAATATATCAAAGACTGAAGATCTATTTAATATACTCAAGGTCCCTCTACAAGCAGAAGTTGTATGGGTCTCCCCTGTGCCCTGCATTCCACCTCACCCAGGGCAGCAGAAAACCACCACAAAGTCTAAAACCAGTTATTTTAAATTAAAAAAAAAAAAAGTTTGGATAAAAACACCTCTCGGAACTCAGGCTGCTTGCCTCTACAGGACTAGATCATCCCCACAACAGCAGCAACAGCCTGCAATCCCAAGAGGAAGCTGAACTGAAGCTTAACAGCCTGCTGGGACGGGAGGACACTCATTTCCCAGCAGCACTGGTGCCCCCGGGGCATTTCTAATCACACATCTCGGGCTGCACAGCAATAATTTCATTTTCAAATAGCAGTTGCAACTAAAAGCCGTTTGTCCTCTTCGACCTGCCCAGGCTAGATTGCCAACATTCAAAAAGCTTCCAGTAAAAGAGTGATGTAAGGTGGCTACCAGCACGGGCAGATCACTAGTCAAACTTCAAATAGCGGATTTGAGTTCAAACTTCATGCCCTGGGCAGGCAAGGGATGTTACAAGCAGGCTGCTCCCTCGGCATCTCACTTTTTTGTGAGATGGCATTTGTGGAAAGAGGGGCTGCTGCTCAGCTAAAGGCAGGGATAGAGCAGGGGGGTTGTTCTGCCTGCCCCAAGCAGACAATAAAATAACCCCAATAAATCACAAAATGGTGTTAGCTGCAGACACCAGCTGCTCAGTGCATTCGGCTTCGATACAGAGGAACTAATAAACCCAAAAGCTTCATCCTAGCTAGCGAGGCTGACCAGAATGAAGCCATGCTTTTAAGATATAGGCAAGGGAGATCCCCTGCCAGGTTGCCATGTGCCTGCCCTGTGCTGCAGAGGCTCTGTTCGCCCCGACGCTCCTCCCCTTGGCCACTTCTGCTCTGCAGACCATCCCCACGTACGTGCAGATCGTGCGGATCCTCTTGCAGGCAGCCCTGACTCACCACCGCCTGGCTCCCCATGCGGCGTAAAGGAGTTAGGCCAGCAGAGGAAAAAAAAAAAAAAAACCACCAACCCATAATTTGTCCTGGCAAAGCCTCCTTTCCCTCAGCCCTGCCAGAAGCTGCTGATTCACCGGAGTCGGTACAAGAAGGTCTGCCCACATAAAAAGCCCGACAAAGTCCCACTATTATAGGAAAACTGACTGGTCAACCCTGAAACACTGTGTTTTAGCCCTCTAACACTTGCTGTCGCATCCTCTGACACTTGCGGAGCAGCGTCGGCTTCTCCCGATGCCAAAAAAAATAAACCTTTGCTGGGAAAGCACCTCCACACAAAGACGGGCAAGCGGGTCTGCGCAGCTTCTGGGAATGAGAGGGATAAGAAACAACGGGATCTCGAGGCGGACACTGCACCCGCAGCATGACTTGGAAGTTCTTAAAGACAGGCAGGTGAGCTCTCCCTATCTCATGGAAACCCCCCACCCACTCAAGTCCTTTGCAAATATAATTTTAAACCCCCTAAAGTCTTTCTAAATATATAAAGGGAAAGAAGAGTCAAGTTCCCCACCAGAATCCCCTTCGTAAGATTTTCCAGCAGTTCAGTGAGCCTCAGAAAAATTAACAAGTCACCATGACCTTGTCCAGGGACGAGAGCAGAAACGCAGCAGCCAAAAAGTACCCCAAATACCCATCTGCCCCCAGCACCGTGCCCTGCCACCAACAGCTTCACTTATTTTACTGTCTCCTGCCTCCCACTACCACCTATCTACAAAGCACAGACTGAATTCTACTGGAAGGACCAGTCTTCTAAATATAACAGGAATGTCTGGCATTTCCCACTACCCCAGGCTTGCTTTTTTAAAAATCAAACAGAAGAGCAAGGACTTCAAGGACACCCAGAGACACTGAGCACTCAGTCTGGGCTGAGCAAGGGAGGGAGGGGGGGGTGTAAGTGATTCCTGACAAAGCCTGAATGTTTCCAGCACTGAATAAATCCAAATTCCTTCCTCAGGGCATAACGAGTAAATGCCCAGTTTTATTACTTGGGCTGCCTGTGCCTCAGGCGGGGCATCCGAAGGTATCTGGTAACTCCCCAGCTCTTGAAGATTCTAGAAAGAGCCGTTTGAGGTCAGGACAACCGGTTATGTAGTAGCGAGGTGACTAAGTCCAGCCAGCTCATCCTGCGGTCGGCTGAGAGACCTTAAATCCACGGCCCCTCCGGATCTGCCCTCCGGGAAGGTGAAAGAAGAGGCAGCAGCAATCCCCACCCCGGCAATTCCCACCCCGGGCCAAGCCTCTGCTGTTATCGGCGACAAAGGGAAGTGGAAACTGCAGCGAGGGGGGCCTGGAAGGGACTATCCCCAGCCAGGACCGGCATTAACCACTGCCGCACCAGACAAAGATGTTTTACTGCCTGTAAAAGTTGCAGGCTCACGGCAGCTCAGGTTTTATTACCTCTGCATGGGTCAGCCTGGCTTACACAACCTCATCACGCTGCAGAACAAGGCTGCTCATGCCCAGTGTCGCTGGCCAGAGGCAGAAATGGTTTGAGTTAGCATTTATATTTGAGAAGGGCAGGGTTATGAAACCGGGCAGGCCTACAGATTCCCAAAAAAAGCCTAGAAAAACATCAGCTTTGTTCGTTCCAGAAGCCAAGGGGGCTCAACAACAGCAACAACAACAAAAAAAAAAATGCATCTCTGCAGCAAAGCAGGCTGTTAATGCAGCCCGTCGACTCCTCTTGCAGAGAGGGAGGACAACACGTTCCCCCATGGGTGGCTGCTGCAGGAGGTGGCATCATGCCGTTACGTAAGTACAAGATGGCCACCCCAAAATGCCATCTCCTTTCTGCAGGGCTGGATGGCACCCAGAAGCCACCACCTGCTCCCAGATGGCTTACACTGTGCCCCGGCAGCAAGATGCAGGAGGAAAAACCCACCACTCCACCATGGCTTTTCAGCAAAGGAGTTATAGGGGCCAGGAAGGTCAGGCACCGGGTAACACCTCTGCCTGCAGACGGATTAGCCTTGCCTTAGCTGAGCCTGTCCTCCCTGGAGGGCAGGGGCACACAGGAGGCTTAACCAAAAAAAAAAAAAAAAAAAAAAAATCAAGGTAGTAGAGGTGACGAGCATCAGGTATTTGGCGATAGAAAGCCTTATCTGGAGGGTATTTGCAGTGCGGGCACACCTACCGCCTTAACCTTGCGGACATGTTGCTCCACCAGAGGACAAGGAGCCTCTCAGCCTGGCCCCACACCAGCAGAAACCACCCCTCTGCCTTCAAGGGAGCTGCAAAAGTCTTTTTTTTTTTTCATTATAAAAGAAAGTTTGGGTCGATTTTTTTTTTTTTTGCAATTATTATTATTTAGAGTTAAATTTTACTAACTCTGGGTGGATGTACAGATCCCTCACAGCTGCATCCCCATCTCCGGGCCGGGGATTTGCTGCGCGCCGGGCTGTGGGCGGCAGCCACACGGTACTGCAGCCCCATGGGGTACGTGCCATCCATCACCGCCCGCTGCAGCAGCACCGGCCCCGGCAGATAAAGGGCGAGCACGTGGTCCAGCAGCCTGGGAAACCTTCTGTCGGCATCAAATTCAATTATCAGCTCAGCACGCGGAAAGGGAATTAACCCTGGTTGAGATCACCCCAGTTAAGGCCAAGAAATTAAGTTTTCTTTGTAAAATTTACGACTTTGGGGTGGGTAAAGAAGCGGGCGGGGAAGAAAAACTCGAGCAACAGGGTCACGGGCAGCACCGCAGCCTCTGCGAGCTCGTTATCTAGTGAAAGTTAAGTTTCTCGCCAGGGTTTGGCAGGCAAAAGTCCCCGGTGCACACACGTGGCTGGGAGCAGAGCTTCCTGCTGGGCAGAGGAGGCCTTCCTCAACCTGGTGATGGCTTGGAAAAGAGCTGGCATCAGCAAAACCCGCCATCAGCAAGATCCATTAGGCCACCAAAATCTTAACTCCCCTAAATTACTCTAAATTCTGCTTTATCGACGGGATGCGGGGCAAAAAGTTATATGCCTGGGACAGCATTTTTATTTTATTTTTTAATTAAGCACTGCTGGTTGCAGAACGGGGCTTGAAGTTTCCCTGGAGGTGTCCAAGTAATCAAAGAAACCTTTTTGCCACCCAGTTTTTGGGCTAAGGCAAGTCAGGATAAGCAGCAGCCTTTCCCGGGGGAATAAGCGGCGGCCGAAAAGTCAAGCCATTAACATCACAAAAAAACCCCGTGAAACACTGATTTTCTGCTTAACCTGGGGGCCCCCCCGATAACTACCCGCCTTATCGGAACAAAGCCGGTTTTCAGAGGTTGCCGACCACTCCTAATTAATCTGAGGAGACAGTGGGGAGGCTGCCATTGTCCGCCGACAAAAGCCCCATTCATGCTCAGCCGAGAGGGTTTAAACACGTTTTTTTTTCCACAGTTCGAGGGACCGTCCCATTCAATCGGGCGTGTCGGGACCGGCGTAATTACGGCAGGAGATTAATTCCGAAGGGGCCTCCTCCTCCTTCTCCTCCGCCGGGGGATGGGTAGAGGAGGCTGCAGCATCACCAGCCCATGAGAGGCACCATGAGGGCCGGCACGGCGAGGGACACACACACTCACACACACCCACCGGCGAGGCCTCCCCGCCTGACTCACCCTCCCAGCCGGGCTCCGGGATGGCGCAACCGCTGCACCGCGCCCCTTTTCCGCTACCCGGCTCTCACCGAGCGGCA